ACTGAACCCCAAAAATAAATTACTATGAAAAAACACACATCAAACTTACAACCTAGTCTGAGTCAAGAAGAACTGATCCTTACATGCATTACATATGTACATACATTACACAGTGTAATGCACTTATATGATTCTTTAAATGTGACCATGATAATTTAGAGGAGCCATCAGGCTTATTCCTTCATTTTACTTTGGTGTTATAAAAATGGAGATTTCTTTTGCAAATGCTGAAGTCCCTAGTTCAAATCTCTTAAGCCAAAGCTGAATCCCCCATGCAATTCAGGTATGATAAAACGTCTCCCCTTTTGTTTTAGCTACGTGATATCCCTAAATAGGAGAGTGGGTGAAAAGGAAAGAGTTTTTTTTTTTCCTCCATGTCATGTGTTGAATAATGTTAGGCAATTTGTTCTATGCCAGACATACACTATTTGCCTTTACCTGTAGCTGATAATGAAGGTATAAAAGTTGATAATTTAAAGTTGTTGCTTTCACAGCTACCATTCCTTACTTTGTGAGAGAAAAACATAAAAATAAGTTAATACAATACAATGATTAAGCCCAGTAATGGAGACATATACTGAGAAGTTCTCCAGAGACTGAAACAACTGTTATCAGTAGAAATCAAGAAAAGAGTTACAAAAAGCAAGATAGCTGAGCTGGAACGTAAAGAATGAATGTTCAGCGATGGAATATCCTGGCAAGGTGCTCCAAAAGAGTAGCGTTTGTGGGGCATAGCATCTGGAGCAGTAATGTCAGACTTTCAGCATGGCTAGGATTTAGAATACACAAGGAAGCAGAAAGGGGGATGATATTTTGGGGGTTTTTATTCATTCTAAAGGTAAATTGACATTTATTCTAAAGCCAGTGGTGTTTGAGTGGAGGTATGTAAACAGGAAAAGTGACATTACTAGATTTGTTTTCTAGGAAGATAATTTTGGTACCAGTTTAGAAGCTATACTTAAAGAAAAATTGATAACAGGAAATTCTATTAAAAGTTTGCTACAATTCATGGAAAAGACAATGAAGAATGGCTGTATAGATGGATAAGAAGCTGAAACAAGGACTCTTTCCAAGTACGGTACTACAATATCTTTATTATTTGTATAAAATAAACCATTATAGGTTGAACTGTGTGCCTTCTGCTCCTCCAAAATTCATATGCCGAAGTCCTAATGCCTAGAGACTCAAATGTGAACATATTTTCAAACAAGATCTTAATAGCAGTATTTAAAATAGTTAGGGTCGCTATGGTGGACCCTAATCAGACAGAACTAGTGTCCTTATAAGAAGAGGAGATTAGACAGACGTATGGATAGCAGAATATGCAGACATGCAGAGAGGACAGCCATGTATAAGCCACTCAGGAAAGCCTAGAACAGATTGTTCTGTCAGGGTCCCCAAAAGGACCTAACCCTGCTGACAACTTAATCTGCAACTTCATAGCCTCAAGACTTGTGAGACAATTAATACCTGTTGCTTAAACCACCTGGTCCATGTTCTTTTGTTACAGCAACTCTATCCAACTGTTACAGAAGTATTCTGGATATGCTAAAGCCTGCATTCACCAGGGAATGATACATAAGAAAATAATAACACTGGCTACCTTGGAAGATACAGTGTTTGAAGACTTTTTACTATATTTGTTTATAATTATTTATTACTCATACTGCTCATGTTATAATGTTGAGAAAATAATGTGAAATAATTAAAACTAAAGGAAAAGACAACAAAGCTGTTTTGAAGAAAAAAATAATACGATTTCTTGGTATAGTGCTGCAGGGATGGTTACATAAGAAGAGAACCGAAGATGACGCTCATAGAATGTTAATTTGGTGATGATACTTTAAAAATTGAAGGAAAATGTTGAATTCTACTTAATATGACTGAATTTTACAGCTGAAGTATCCACTCAAAGACATTCATTCTATAATTAGGAAGAGGGTACAAGGGCTAGGCGATGATCTTGGGGTTGGCACATTAATGATTATATCACTAACTTTGAGATGATATACGCAGTTTAATACTCAGAGATTAATGTCCCTAGTGTGCTTCTTAGAGTGGTTGAAACACAGAGTTTGAGAGGTGACACGTTTTGGCTGGACTAAGGCCAGGAAAATGTTCTGTGAGAAGCCTCAAGATGCACTGAAGGTTTGGAGATGTGTCTCAGTGGGAGAGTGCTGGCCTCCGGCACCACAAAGCAAAAAAGAAAACTCAGAGAAGTTGGTTAAAGGTTAAGGCAGTTAAATTAAATATGGTAAATAAAATTGGAAATTTTGCTTTAAACTTGAAATAAACTGTATACCTGTATCTACATTTATCTACATTGTTCTTTAATATACTCAATATCAAAATATGTATTGATACTCATCATTAAATAATGTTTCTTTATGCACAACAGCTATAAAAATGGATGTTATAATGGCTATTAAAGGTTTCTTAGGGTTTTAGAATATATGTGTACATATTTAGTCAAGTTATATTTTTCTAAATGTGTAAATAATAGCAATAATATTCATTGTAGAAAAGTTGCTAAATCAGTAATCTGCAGAAAAAGTTATAATCTTCCCACCTAAATAGACACTATTAATATATAGATAAATTTGCTTTTGGTGTTTTTTTTTCCTATAAATACATGTATACATTGAGGTGAGTGCTAATAAAAATGTTGAATTTCTATCCAACTTTTTCACTTAATTTTTATTATGAATAAGATCTCATAACATTAAATATTCTTTTTCATGAAAGCAAAATACGCTAATATATGAATGCCTTATAATTATTTCCACTTGTCTTTAGATCGTTTTTAATATTACACTTATTAATATATCTAGATGCATTTCATATAATTTTCTACTGGTAGATTTCTAGAAGTGGAATTACTATTCCTTGAAGGCTAAATAATGTATACTGCTATTTCTGGTGTGTACTGCATAAAATGTGGTAGCAATTTCTTTCTCTAATAACAATATAAGAACATGCTGATCTTGATGACATATAAATATTTTCATTAAGAAAATATTCCCAGGATACATTTAGATTTTTTTAATATTACAATGCAATAATCATATAGCTATTATTCTTAGATAATATATTATTCTGTTCTAATGACATTTAAATATCTGAAGTATAATAAATATTTAGCACCAGTTTACTGACCAGCTGCTCTAAACAAGGACGGGTGTTGAAAAAAAAATAGTATTCACAACAGTCCTCGCTTTATATTGACCAGAATTTCTATGTGGATATTTCATTAGAAACTGTTTTAGAAACTTTACTGCCATCCTCATGGGCACATGAAAATTATAAGGCACTAACTATAGCTCCCGCTTCCTTAAAGAAGCATGAGGCTTGTCACCATGAGTTGGTATTGAGAAATGCAGGGGAGTGGGAAAGGTTGACTGAGTTATAATCGACCCATCTAAGTACCTATACGAAGAACCGTGAGTTCCTTATTAAAATGGTGTTTCGTGTCTAAAGTTTGAAGTGAAAAGTAATTAAAGAGTATGTTCTCTTCTACTGCTAAAACTTGTATATCATGTGAGTTTTAAAAGAACAATTAAAAAGTGATATTGCTTCTGTTTCACATTTCTGCTGCATTAATAAATGTTTTAACCTGACTTAGGAATATTCATTAATGCACTTTAAGCATCTTGAGCATACCATTTGTTTTAAATGAGAATCACCATTTCTCCACATTTTAGATTCACCTGTAATCTTAGTTGGTCATAATACACTGTTTATTAATTTGGTAGCCTCATTTCACTATTGCAAGAATTATTATGTTCTCAAAGTTAAGTATTTGGTCTATTTACTATATTCAGTTTTTGGTGATCACCTCTGAGTGGCATATAGGAAAAAATGGTCTAAATCCTGGTTAGCTAAATAGATTTTTCCCTCATGTGTGTGTGTGTGTGTGTGTGTGTGTGTGTGTGTGTGTGTGTGTGTGTGTGTGTGTGTGTGTGTGTGTGTGTGTGTGTGTGTGTGTGTGTGTGTGTGTGTGTGTGTGTGTGTGTGTGTGTGTGTGTGTGTGTGTGTGTGTGTGTGTGTGTGTGTGTGTGTGTGTGTGTGTGTGTGTGTGTGTGTGTGTGTGTGTGTGTGTGTGTGTGTGTGTGTGTGTGTGTGTGTGTGTGTGTGTGTGTGTGTGTGTGTGTGTGTGTGTGTGTGTGTGTGTGTGTGTGTGTGTGTGTGTGTGTGTGTGTGTGTGTGTGTGTGTGTGTGTGTGTGTGTGTGTGTGTGTGTGTGTGTGTGTGTGTGTGTGTGTGTGTGTGTGTTGGGGGGGAGTGCTACTGATTGAACCTAGAACCTTGCACATGATAAGCACATGCTCTGTCACTGATCTGTAACCCTCAAGATTTTTTCCCCTCTCTTTACATATGATTTCTTAGTACTGAATCATTTAAGATTCTGTTCTTATTTGTTTATTTTGCAGTACTAGGGATTCAATCCAGGACCTTATGTATATTAGGCAAATGTTTTGCTATGGAACTATTTCTAGCCTTTTTTATTTTGAGACAAAGTTACTCTAAACCGCCTAGACTGACCTTGATCTGGAGGTTCTCCTTCCTCAGCTTCCAAACAGATGTTGCCCAGTAATCTCCTAATATTCATGTTTTCATCCTTTGTCTTGTTTCTTCAGTTATGTGAAAAACTAAAGGCTGAAAACTATGCATTAGACATTTTTAAATTTCCCACAGGATTCAGCTTAGAGCATTTGGTTAGGCAACAATTTTTAAAAGTTTTTTTTTTTTTAATAAAAGAGAAAAAGCCCTAGATTATTGTCATTTGAAAATGATGCAAAATGTTAATTCATTCTGATATTCTGTGTAAGTAAATAGCTGCCACTCTTTCTTTCTTAGTGGAAATCTAAAATAAGGTAGGTATGTGTTATGTGTAAGGATTAAACCTATTTGGACTAGTTTCCCATCCAACAGAATCATCGTTGTTGAAACATCACTGTATTCACATTTTTCTTGTATGTTTTCTTGCCATGTCATTTTCAGGGACTCCTGAAAGCCTAGCTGAGAAAGAGAGGCAGCTCATGGGTATGATCAACCAGCTGACCAGTCTGCGGGAGCAGCTCCTGGCTGCACACGATGAGCAGAAGAAACTGGCTGCGTCTCAGATTGAGAAACAGCGCCAGCAAATGGAGCTGGCCAAGCAGCAACAAGAGCAGGTGAGTAATAAACAGAGGGGGCAATCAGATTCTTGGCCAAATTTCTTACATGTTGTTTTGCCTACCATTTATAGATTACAGCCCTAGTCATTCAAAGATGAATAAGAGTTCCCAGTCCCAGCCACAATTAAGTAAACGGGGAGATAAAAAACAATGCAAACACGGATGCAAAAACAGATCCTAAAGTTTATTAACACATTCGGAATCATAGATATATACTGATTGAATGCCCTAACCAAAACCTAGCATCTGAAATTCTTGAAAATCCACAGCTTTCTTAGTGCATATATGATACCACATGTGGGAAGTTCCATACATGACCTCACATAATAGATTACAGACAAAATATTTTAAATTATCTTCACAGTATGTGTTTAAGAATCTGAAGTTCAAAATGCTTCTGGTCCTAAGCATTTCCGATGAAGTGTAAATAAAAGTAAATTTGGATAGATCATGAAAGAAGTACTAAAAAAAAAGACCCATGGAAGATAATGTTTCCAGGCAGGAACATTTTTGAAGCATATCCCTTGGAAAGGTGACTTTGAGATAAGTTTTGAAGAATAGGACCAGGGAATCTCAAGTAGAGGAATGGCAGGTTTGTAGGCCTTTGAGTGGAGACATCACGCAAAGGTAGAAGTGGGGTAAGGGTAAGCCCTTAGTAGATGGTAGCAAAGAGAGTGACAGAGAGGAAAATGAGCATATCCAGAAGCAGTCAGATTGCAGAACGGCCAAGAGGGCTGTCAAAGAACCAAGTGAGCAAGAGTGAATGGAGATTCTGAGAAGCAGTAAGCTAAAAAAAGAGTTATGTGGATGTCAAATTGAAACTCTAGCTTTATCATTTAGGTTCTCATCATTAACTTTCTAAGCGTACAGTTTAGCAGTGAAAGTCAGACAATAAAATTTGACAGATATGTAGCAGGAACATAGCAGCAGTGCCTACCAACTGCTTTAAGAATCAGCGCTAAGGAGAAGATAGGATAGAGATTCTTGTAACGTCAGCTAATGCACAAGGATGACGCCCCTTTTCCATGGCTAAGACCCTTTATCCCATGTTCTGGGCACAGTCTACTCTCTCTATTTAAATGAGGGTGTTAGTATATTTGCGCATTGCTGCAAAACCCTCTAAACAGCTTCCAAAGTGTAAACTAGCAGGGTTGAAAGAGGTGAAGAAATACTCAGATTACTACTTTTGAATAGTTTGAAGTACCTGCCCCCACCATTTTTTTTTTCATTTTACTCAGTGGTTCATCTCTGCTTGAAAGTTGATAGTTTTATTTTTAATAAAATTCCTCATCACTTTCTTTCAAGATTTATTTGGCCTTGTATTGGATATGGTCCATAGTCCTCTTGCTTTAGTCCTGTGATAAAAGCATTCAGAATGTGTGCCTATGACGATGTAGAAAAATTTTGCTATTCACTTGTCCTTAACTAACAGTGTGTTAAGTCATTTTGAAGGCCTAAGACTCCTGGGAGCCTCTGAAAATGTAGCTTGGACAGGATATTTCTTTGTGGAGAATTCCTACCTACTTTGGTGGATTAGAGGGCACATTCATCCTGAAAAACTTAAAGCAGTTATTAATAGAGAGGAAGTTTTTTTTGATTTGTTTTGTTTTTTCCTCCCTTTCATGTCTGGCCAATCCCTGAGTACCACCAGAGATTCTAGAATGTTTTATTTTCTCAAGACCTCTGAAGTTCTCTGTGGAACATTAGAAACCCTGAGGTCTTTTCAGAATTCTTCTCAGTGTTGGAGAAATGCCCCCGGGATGCTGACTCCAAAGCCTGAGAGGTCAGGTTTTTAGAACCGTCACTGCTCCCCAAGTCATTTACTTGAAACCAAGAGCTGTCATGCACAGTCACCACTGTGGGGTTAAAGATCTCATCACGATGGACATTCCTACTTTTCCTTAAGATTCGGGTGGGATTCTACTCTCATAACAGCTCTTTTCTTGAGCCTCCTCCCAGCACTTCTTAGTCAGTGCAGGATATCCCTGCTGTGTGCACAATACTCTCATGCCTGCCCATGCAAACCCCAGATGGACCTACTTACCCATCGGCCTCTCCAGCGAAGCTGGAGCTCCTTTCCATATCCTTCTACACAGCAAATACTGTTTGAGCCCCAAGTTGGTACCAGGTTCTGTTCTGTTATTGGAAGTACAGCAGGGAATAAAATAAATAAAAATTTCTCCTGTGTTGAATTCCAGTTGAGAAGCCACGCATCAAGTAATCCATTAAACTAGCTTATTGTTGTGATTAAAAATAAAGCAGCGATTTGTGAATGAGGGTGTTAGGTGGAGATATGCTCTTTTAAAATGGTGGCTGAAGGGAGATCTCATTGAATGGATGGCATTTGAACAGTCTTATGGGAGGTGCGGGAGAGAGCCCAGTGGCTAATGTGTTCCAGTTGGATGAGAAAGCTAGTGCAAAGGTGAAAAGAGTATCCTTGAAAAGTAGGACCCATCCTGGTGTGTTCAAGAGACATTTAGAAGAGATATGTGCAAGCATGGAGGGACAAGGAGGCAAGAAAGAGCAGAGCAGTAACAAGAGGGCAAATCATATAATATAGGCTTGCAGGCATCAGATGGCCACTGGCTTGTATATCCAGAGACCTCTCTGGACAGTGACTGGTAATAGGGTACAGGGAACAACGACAGACGCAAAGAGAATAAGTAGGAGACTGTTAAAATAATCCAGGCAAGAGACTAAGTGGTTTAGAGCAAGAGGAAGTATGGAGGAATATGAGGTGATCAGATTCTTGATACTTTCATGGTATTGGTAAAAAGTTTCAAATATAAATTTAAATACTAATATACTGGAGAAAGGAATCAAGGTAAAGGAGTGGTATTCTTTTATTTTTCTTAACCATCTTCTCTGCTTTTTTCAGAGGGCCATAGGTTTTTTTTTTTTTAAACCATATTCCAAACATAAAGTGAAAGCATTAAGATGTCATAATTGTAACTGTCAAAAAAGGAAGGAAACAGTATGCAGCTTTGTAGACACATCCTCCTCATGTGGCGTCTTTACTTTTATTCATAATACCGTATCATTTTTGTCTGGTCTTTAAACTTTCTCATACAGAAGTTAAGGAATATTTTTTATAATGGAAATTCATTGATGAGAATCTCAATGAGAATAAGATCTAAGGTTTCTTTCTAAAAGAGTGATAAGTTTCATGAGGTGAGAAGGTATATCCTTATGAGAAGCTTTTCTGTCTGGTATCAGATGATAAAGCATTTAAAAATTTTTCTTACCTATTCATTCTTGTGTTCTTATCTAGTATTCATTAAGGGCCCCTTTTGTATCATGCTCTGCAAACCATGAATAAAATATGCATAGTCTTTACCCTCTCTGAATTGATGGACTTCTCCTGAGGAAGGTGTTTAAAAATAAAGACATAGCATGAGACACTGAATTAAGTAAATGTAAAAGGTGCTAGAAGTGCAAATGATAGGTAACTACTGTGCTATTCCCAGAGACAGAAAGCACTTAATATGATCTTATGGTGGGCTAGATTTCTATTTTAGTTTTGGACCTGACTTTGAAGTACTTTTGAGTAAGTCTCTGGATAAATGGGTCTGAAATTTAGAACAAGGGTTTAGGCCAGAGGAAGCAGTTTAGAAACACTTGGTACAAGATATAAATGAAAGTAGTAGAGAGGAAAATGAAGAGAGCCTGCGGTTGAGTCTTAGAATATTGCAGAATGTAATGTGGCTAGACAGACAGGTAGGAACAACCCCAAGAAATTATTATACTGTAGAAGCCATGGGACAGAGTTTACCATCAAGGAGAAACATTTGAGGATTGGATTCTAATGAAATGTCCAAAGATGAGGACTAAAACATATTACAGAATTTGTGGAGGAAAAATGATCAGTTACTTTCTTAAGAAACAATCACTTTGGCAGAGAAGTAGATGCCAATACTACAGTAAGTGTTGAAGAGTTGGTATTTGAGTATTTGTGGAAGTCCAAAATGAGAACAGTATTTACCAAAACTGAAACAAAACACAAAGCCAAAACTTCACTGAGGAATACACCATCTTCAGAACTTACTTTGACTTTATACGCCTTGATTGCAAACCCCCCCCCCATTACGACATTCTTTTGTAAAGAAGAGTTTAAAATGTCACACCAGTTCCTTTCCATGGGTCACCAGGAACAGGGATATTTCTGAAACGATACCAAGTCTTAGTGAGATAGATCACTGATGTGGTATCCTGATCAACTTGATCAGTGTCAGATCAGACTTTGAGCAACTGAGCATTGTAATTCTCCACATGGTACTGGAAGCATTGTAATTCTCCACATGGTACTCGAAGATACCTTTACATTTTTCATGTGCAATTTCTCCACAGATTGCAAGACAACAGCAGCAGCTTCTGCAGCAGCAACACAAAATCAATTTGCTTCAGCAACAGATCCAGGTCAGAAATCATAATTTTAATATATTTCTGCCTTAAAAGTATGTTTTAGTTCTTACTCCTGTGTGACCTAAATCCAATGTGGAATCTACCATTAGACCAGTAGGGAGCATTTTATCTGGCCTAACTGAAATGATCCCCTAACTAAAAGTAATTTTCAGCCCATTTCGTGACACATTGCCTCTTGTGCCATGGAGAAGGTGATGCTCTGTCCTCGGCCGTATTATATCGCGGAGCTTCTGCCTAAGCAAACTGCCGGTCCCTTGCATATTATCCTGAGAAAAAGTTATTGTAGAGAAATATTTTATTTTCTCTATTGCCTATAAATGTTCCTAATGAGGCAGGTGCAAGAAACTGAAACAGAAAGGTATAGCACATTTTCTGTTCAGAAAAAGTGCCAGAGAGAATTTTCATGGTTGTACGTCGATGAGCCCTACCTGATCAAAGTGAAACATGGGGAAGGTACTGATTCGGTGTGTTGGCTGTCATCCGTGGTGTGGAAATCAGGTGAAAATTCTCCCACCTCCATATTTTTCATAAATAGAAGTTAAGAAGTGATTAAGCACATTAATAAAGAAGGCAAAAGCTGTACTGTTAAGAAAAGAAAAATTTAAGTTGCCAGGATTGTCCTGTTTTTCACTGTTACTGGCATAACCTTTGAGAGAGTTCTTTGTTTCCCTTTCTGAAAGGTCCCTTGCTGAAAAGTACTTCTTTTGTAAGAGATTCTGTGAGGCTTAAATGACATCATGGATTATAAGTCAGCTTTCCTGTTGCGAGGACCAAATACCTGACACCCACAATTAAAGGAGAAGAGCTTTAAATTGGTTCACAGAGTCAAAGATTTCAGTCTGTAATCAGCTCGCTCCAAGGCTGAAACATGGTGGGAGGGCGAGGGGAAGCAAGGCTACTCCATGCAGGGAGGCCAGAAAGTAAAGCAGGGGAAAATGCCAGAGGGGAAAGAGATGGGAACCAGGTGCGGTTCCTAAAGTAAGTCAGACCTCTGCGATCCACCCAGAAGTGCACTTTAGTAATCCCCTACAGGCCTTTCCAGCAAATCAAGGTGACCATCTTGCTCAACTGTCCCCGAAGGGCCTGGGCAGAGCGCTAAAGCACGTAGTAAGTGCTCCACACGGTTTCTGAGACTATCAAGGGACACAGTTCACAGATCTGTGACTCTAACTTTGTGTAGCGTCTTCTACATGGAGGTGACTGCTAAATTTGCATTGAACATCTTCTTTTGGGTAGAAATTCACCATTCCCTTGAAGTTGTATCTTGAGAGTCTAACATTTCATTAGGAATAATTGTCATAAAAGAAGCAGCTGTAATACATTTCATTCATGTATTAATAACATTCTAACGTTTTTGCCAATGAAGTTGTCCCATTTTATCTACTTGGGCCAGGTACCCTGCATTTCTTTACCCTGATGTTGACCAGTTTTCATTCTTCTTTCTTGATCTACCCGGGATTTTAGTGAGCTGTTGACAAATCAAGTGACACATTGGGACATCAGTTAGATGTTCCAGCCAGGGGTGTTTGCCTTGTAACTATGGGCAATATATTTTTAATACACTACTATCTGTTCCTGTCTGGAGTACAGTTATTGAATTCTGTGGTTTAAAACTTCATGTTGTTTAATCAGAACATACCAATTTTGAATATAGTTTTAGTAAATGGCTCCAGGTTATCTGTGTTTAAAGTGTTTTTAATAAGTGAAAACACAAGTTATTGAAGTTATGGCAATTTCCCACTGTAAGACATGATTCCATAATCGTTAATGTGGTCTGTCATATATTTTAACTGCAACTTGATGAGAGTGCTGATAGTCTTAAATTTTGATAATTTCCATTAATTGGGGAAAAGTCCTTTGTTAAACAGGATTCCAAAAGTATATCTAAATTTATGTTACAAATATATAAAAAACTAAAAAAATGATGCATTTTGACCAGTTAAATTAGCCAACATTTTCAGTGTGTGTGTGTGGGGGGTGGGATTAACACACAATTCTGACCACTACACTTATAATGTACATTTTAAGCTTCTCATAGACACAAAATATATGAATAGTTTTCTTGCTCTAAGGCACAGAGCATGGTAATCTATAAGTCATAGCATTTTAAAATTGAAAAGCACTTTATCCACCTCCTGCCTTGCAAGCGCAAGGTCCCAAGTTGGATCCCTGGAACAAAATTAAAAAAAAAAAAAAAAGAAAGAAAGAAAAGAAAAGCTCTTTCTTAGAAATTGTGTGACTGTAAAAACTGTCTTCCAGGCAGCTGAGTTCAAGGTTAATGACATATCCAAGATCACTCAGTTAGTCACTGGTAACACTAGAGTCAGAAGAAAAGTTTGCTGACTGTTAATGGAAGTTTTTCTGATTATGAGAATGTTGAAAGCTTAGAGTTTGTATTTGATCAAAATATTATGCACTTCCTTCTACCTCTCCTAGTCCACAAGTTGTGTTTTAAGTCCCTAAGGGAAATCATATCACACGGAAGTAATTTTGGGGAAAGGAACATTAAAAGATCTTGGGCTGCCAGATACACCTATTTGTCCTCTTTCTAGGGATAGTTTAGATAAATGAAACGGGCAGAGTCAAAACCCATTTTAAAAAAATTCTAGGAAGTAAGGAATGAGTCAGGCAACAAATCATAAGAATGGAGCAAGACCGAAATTTTTAAAGGAATTAATTTCCACAGTGTCTAAACTAACTAAATGCACACTTCTAAAATATATTATATAAAGTATTAATTTGGGGCAGTCTTACCAGCATTTCCTGTGAAAATCATAATGTATTTAAATTATTAATTTTGGGGAGATTGTTCCTACAATTATGGGAAGCACTGATACACTGGCATAAATGGAAACAAAATTTAAAATAAGAACAGACTCATTTCACCTCTATACAAATCCTTATTGTATTTCTTTTTAGAGTGCTTTCACTCCCTTTTTCATTTTTTCCACTTTCTCCTTTTCCTTTGAAGCATAGGACAAAGAGAAAACTTCATTTAGCCTGCTATTTTACATAAATCAAATTTATTTTTAAAAATTATTACAATTTTGAAGATAAATGCATATACAATCAAGTACATAAATATTTGTCATAGATTAAACTATTTGCTATTTGAAAATATTGATGTTGTATTTTGATCTATTTTTGCTATGTTCTTAGTCATAATACCTTTTGAAAGTAAACATATCATTTTACATTATTCATCATGTTTGCTTTTCTCAGATATTTGTGCCATTGTTGTTGCTTCTGACCTTAGAAAACAATGCCTTCCACATTCTATATTGACAAAATGGTCAACCGTACTGTTTCATAGTCCACAATTAAGCTGCCACTAAGTTTTTTTTCAACTGAAAATCCAAAGGACATTAACTTGTTCCAAATATTAGTAAAGCCATACAGTACATTGCATGTGTGAGACAGATCTGCTAAATGGATTAGATTGATTTGTTAAGAGTTGGAGTGGGACAGTTTCCACACTTGATGGATGTGTTAAATACAAGGAAGATATTTCCTAGCATCTTCCTCATTTTTTAATTTAGATCCCTCTAGAGAAAAATTAATTTAGACATCTTTATTTCATATATATCATTTATTAAAAATATAAATAGGCTTGCACATTTGTCTATACACACATTCACATATTCTGATAAACCAGCTTATTTAAAATTCCTCTTAGCCTGTTATTTCCTTTTTTTTTAGCCTTTGATGAATAAAGTGTTGATAGGTTTTATTTTGGTGTTTTATTCAGAAAAAAGGCCATAAGAATTTTCAGCTGAGTCAGTTTTACTTAGTTTCTTAGGCTCAATTCTTTATGAACTGCTTTATTTCATTCAAAAGCAACTTTAGCTCTAAAATAGCATTATTGTAATTAGGAGGAAGGTTCAGTCTACATTTTTCTTTTTGAAAACTTTATAGGGTGACTGTGTTCTGTGGGACTTATTCATATAATTCATTACAATTAAAATAAGAATTCAGGTTCATAAATTGACATCATAAATCAGTCCACTCTAAAAAAAATGTCCTAATACTAGAAGCATACATCTTCTCTCAAAAAATGTTAGTTTCTTTGTGATTCTAATTTTAGAAATATTAAATTTGTCTCCTTTTTCAATATTCAAAATTATTTCCCTCTCTCATTTTTTACTAACCCCAAAATATAGAACGTTTCATTTTTCTTTCCAATTTAATGCACATCAGTACACTAAATGCTTTAGGTGAAATTGATAAATATGTCAGAAAAAAATACCTTCCTTGTTTTGAAGGAAAACCACCACCATTACACCACAGAATACTCTGCAGTATCTTTTAGATAATTTCTTTTTATATTAAATCAAACTATTTCTAATACTGATAGTTAAATGGTTTATGTTTCAAATATTGAACCAAGTTACTGGTTCATCTTGACCTGATTTTTCTATTATGAAAACCTTTCAAATGTGACCTGTACTCAACTTCCATTACGACAATAAATCGAGTATTCCTGGAGACTCGCACTCCTTTTATTCTTGAAGCTTCTTACAAGGAAGAGCTTCTCTATCTTTGTACATGTACAGGAGAACCATGTTCCAGTTAGAAATTTCTTCCCCCTTTCAGTAGAACTTCAGAGAATTTCAGGTTCTTGTCAGAAAATAATGAGGACAACCCAACAGTGGACTTTAGTGTATACACTGCTTAAGGTACTTTAAGGACGAATTTTAAAATATGGTGCTTCTTCTGAGTTGCATATTTATCATGATTCCCATATGAGATCAGTGTTTGAACTTGCGAAAGAAATTTTCAAGAATTTATTGCATTCTCTCTTTTGATAAACTTTTTTTACATTGTTGTTCATTGTGTTCTCCTTAGGGCAAATAATTGATCTATAATAACTCTTTCTCATTGTTTCTGTTCATAAGATAAGCATTAGTTAAGATTAGTCATAGCCCTGGGTCACTGATTCTGTCTGGAAGAGAGAGAAGGAAATGTTTCTGTTCCCTTGTGTTCTCAGTTGGGCA